CGATTAGGTGCAGTTTACGCTTTGACAATGAAGAGCCGACCCAGCTCTTTGAAACGTCAGCAGTTAAATAAACCTGTTCCGGAGAGCCAATTTTCTTCTTCTTATAATCTTCCCGGATCTCTAAACTTTTCCAATCTGAACGTCAATTTAAGCTTGACATTATCCTCGATTCAAGCGTGGGAACCCTGAACATCTAAAGATCACAGCCTCCTTCAGAAAGTTAATAGGCGGGCAACCAATCTCGTTAGTGGACAGGATTTACTACCCCTACGAAACACGAGTATTCAATCTCGACCTCTTTCCACTGAATGACAGACAGCTAAGAGGCGACCTTATACAAACATTCCGTATAATGCGCGGCAAGGAGGGCTGTCTCCTGCCTGCTGATTTCTTAGAGTTGGCAACCACAGCGAACCTCCGAGGTCATCCACTTAAACTACGTGTGACTGGTGTCGGAAGTTCTTCTTTTTAAACAGAGTGGTCGAGGCTTGGAATTCTCTGCCTGTAGATGTCGTCATGTCCACTCCCGTCGAGACTTTTAAGCGCAAGTTGGACCAGTGTACCACTATACGTCATAATGTCACCTAACCGATATCGTCTTAGCATTTCGTTTGAACAGTTTATTAATATTGTAATGAAGATGAACAACTGATCTCTGGAATAGTAGGTGTATTAGTCTGAGCTTTTGGTCTCGTATAGGATGCCATCGTCCAGGGACTGTGAGAATGCGGCATCAAATGAGTAGTTTTTGTAGTGAAGCCATGAAGGGATGGGGGTGGGGCTATGAATTCAAAGGCTGGTATTCGCGATAATCTGAGTCCCACGCCGTCTCATGTTGGCGTGACTGCGTGCACCCTTGGCTGGAAATTGGGTCTCGCCTCTTGGCCGCGGGAACGGAGCGCGTGATAGCAGGGGGGCATGTCAACGTGTCTGTTGATAGAGTTGGTGTCAGACACTCAGACCTCCAACAGTTTTCGCCCTGTATTACCGCAGGCCCGCGCTACCATCCGCGTGTTCGCGAAGTTGAATTTGTAGTCTTCCGCCCTGACAGGTAGAGATCACGTGGAGCTTATGCGGACTCAACTCTTGTCACCAGTACCAACGCGGCAGAGAAGGGAACACGGACTCGGCAGAATGTCAAAGGATCCACACTTGGGGTTGGGTATGACTGGCTGATGACGGCTAATAAGCCAGAAATGGCCATTCCGGTCTGCGTTGTCTTTGTCGGTATCACCTTATCAACATATATCACTAGTCGCTGTGCGACTGCCTGCGAGGGTTTAAGTATGAGCCCCAAGGCACAACAGAACGAGCATGTTCTGTAACCTGATCGCTGAGCGCCCATCTGTCATAATTGATAATCCCGATCACATCCGACAGGACAACGGGCCCGTGGCTCAATGGTAGAGCGTTAAACTCCATGATCAAAGATCCCGGGTTCGAATCTCAAGTGATACACACTTGCGGTTGGATATGACTGGCTGATGACGGCTAATAAGCCAGAAATGGCCATTCCGGTCTCCCTTGTCTTTGTCGGTAATATCATTCTGCCTATATATATATATATATATATATATATATATATATATATATATATATATATATATATATATATATATATATGTACTGGGAATTACTTTGTGCAGGATGTGTGGCTATGCACCAGCACACGATCGTCTAAGGTGTGACTCGAAATGTCACTGAAAATGCGCGTCGGAGATAACTGGCACTGTGGGATAACCACGCAATGTCGGTTCCACAAACCAGTAATACTATCAATATAATCTTATGCATAGTTATACCGCACCACCGACATACGTACTAGGCATAAAACTCAAACACATGTTCGGCCGGTATTTATGCTGTCGCACGCCACAGCCGCAACGGGCTCGGCTTCTCGATGGGTTTCCCAACGCTCTCTATGCGGTTTCTGGTATTTGGGCTCGTATCTATGTCGGAAGCCAACTAACAACCCAACTCGGACCTCGCCGTTGACCCTTGTTTCTTTGGGGTGGCTGACCAGTGGGCCGGAAGTGAGATTACGATGGCTCCTCTCTAGTGTGGCCTCTATGGCACTCCCACACATGTGAGATCCGATTTGCCCATCCTCTTTGTGTAAAATTGTGGTGTGCGTGTGGACCAGGACGGGTGTGCGGCACACGCAAACGAGCCTTCCGGCCTCGCCAGCCATTTCTCCCGATCGCGGCATCAATCGATTAGTCAGCTCCACTCTGAGTGGGGAGGGTGACCTCGACTCTTAGAAGACTTTCCTCACTACAAACAATGACGCCCTTGAGACCACCACGGTGGGCTAGAAGTTGTGACTTGGAAGGCTACCAACTGATGGGCGAACTCGCACTTTGTAATCAGCCCAGTTTTCTTTGTGTGGAGTGGCCGGTTGGTAGACAGAGTCAGACTGCAACGGCTCCTTCTTAATGTGGCCTTTATGGCACTTCTACTCAGCCGAGACCCGAGCTGACCCTCCTTTTCGTTGTGCAAAATCCTGGTCGTTGTGCAGGTCATGGGGTGTTGTGGCACACCTAGGTGCGGGCTTACGTGGTGCCAGGCACCTGAGCCTCTCCCGCCTCCGATCTTCTTAGCTCTGCCATGACACTGGGTCCAGATGAAAGAGAAAGGAGTGCGACTGATGCAACGTAGGTCTATTGTCATTATAGAAAAAAGCCACGATCAAGTCACCGTCCCTGCTCTCTCCCTGCTGTGAGGTACACGGTGGACATTTTTGAAATCGACGGTCGAACTGTCACCATCCATCTAAGTACGTTCTACTACTTCGGGAGAGACTATCGAGCTAAAAATTCCAACGGGTCATCCACAGAAAGGCAAGCAGAAGAACGTTTTGTACTAAAAATAAACAACCTGTAAACAGGAGGGCCATACTGATCGAGTTTTAAGGTAGCAAACAGAAACGTGCTTTAATTATTATCGGAGGCGCAATAAGGCTGGGCGAGCGATCCTAGAAGGACATCTTCTCAAGAGCTGCCTTGTGCCTCTTGCCCGAGCAGTGCATTTGCAAGTTGACCTGCGAGGGCACAGGACAATTGCAGGCATGACAGAAGTAACCGACGCCACGAGGCTCCAGAACACCGGAAGAAGCTGCTACGGCAGCTGCCCCGTTGTTATTCGAGTCGACTCTTTCCACAGGGCTGGCAGTAGCACTGCTAGATTGATCCTGGAAGAGAGGCCGCAACAGACAACGTATTTCTTCTCGAACCAAAGGCCTTATCTCCTCCATAAAGATCTTTCTAATCATCTGAGCCAACGCTTCCTGATTTGGAAGAGGGGGAGACTGTGACTGTTGGCCTTGCGACAGAAACGGCGCTTGACCGTTGACATTTGCTGCAAAAGCTGACTGAGAATTGCTCGGACAAGGCAGAGTTGGAGCAACTGGTGGTGGTTGAGCAGCTATAGCACCATTCGTAGTGGAGGAGGGCCGTGGGAAGGCTTTGCTGGCTATCGGGTTGGCAGGGAGTCGGGATTCATGCTCGGGGCTGTTGAGGTGGAGCATGAGCTGGGTCTTATCAGAGAAGCTTACATTGCACAGAGTGCACTTCCATTTATCATAAGAAGTGCTGATCTTCGGTGCACTGGTAGGGCTCGTGATTGCAGGTTGGGAATTAATTTTGGGTAATGGTGGCGGCACATTCTCAGCATTCTGCTTGCAAGGCAAAGGCACTTCCTGGCGTGGTGGCTGCTGCTGCGCACTATAGCGACTAAAGTAGGGCACGGCGGTGGTCATCTGAGTAAAGTCATAAGCGGCTGTTGAGTCACTACAATCAACAACACCGCTAGTCGCGATGACGGTGGTGGTAGTGGTGACGGCGGAGGAAATGGAGGGTGACGGCGTGAAGGGCTGCGGCGTCGGCCGGGTGAAGGCGTGGGATGTCGCACCTTTGCCCTCATTCAAATGCGAGTTATTGACCTGGACGGTCAGTGGTGGAGGCGGTGGTAGCTCCGCTTTCGTTTCACAGTTTCCGGCGGACATGTGGGCCCAAAACTTTTCATTTTCTACGAATTTCTCATTGCAGAAACAACAGGTGTAGAAAGTTGCGTCAGAGGTCATTGGAGCTGTTTAAACAAACGTACAAAAGCGAAGAAACAGTTCAGACTCACAGAACAAAACCGACTGGAAAGCACGAATGACCGAAATCATTGACTGAGGTAGGAACTAACACCCCCAAAACTGTAGGTTATGCAATCTCAGATAATATTTGCGTTCAGAGACAATTGTTGAAGGAGTTACACTAAGAATAGAGAACACAATATTCCGGCATGGTTCGAAGTTTAATATAAATATTTGAGCTGAAATCCGTCAGCTACTGCGGAATAATCACATAATATTTACAAACCGCCAACAGGCAGCCAGTAGTATAGGATTGTGTAATTATCTACCGTACAGACAACACAGGTACAGGTCAATGCTAGTGGTGGGTGCGCGACGGATCCCACTTTGCCAAGGACCGTGCCACCCCCGGCCCGTCACATCGTTTCGGAAAACTAGACTGGATGCGAGATTGGTGGGGGATCACTGATCGATCGGTTGACGGTCATGTCCTTTGCAGATGCGTTAACGTGTACCTTTCATCTTGAATGTGACTTCCGACATCACGGAGCAACCGAAATGATCATTGCCACTCGCCAGTTACAAAATCTGGGAGATATGTACGCATCTATGGATTACCTTCGGGGACCTGACGAAAGCCCTTGACACGGTGAATCGCGATGGTTTCGGAAAAATCATGCAGGAAATCGGCTGTTCTGAGTGAATCACGCGCTTGGTGCGTGTCACGGACAACGCGTTCGTCCTAGAGGCATTCGCGGTGATCAATAAAGTGAAGCAGGGCCGCGTCTTCGATCCGACCCCCTCCAGCCCCACGTTCTCTAGCATGCTGATGGACATCCAGGGATCCGCGTCGTATAAGGGCCGACTACAATCTCATTGGCAGCCGGTGCATGATGGCCCCAACTCGTCCCTCCACAACTAGTGCCCATGATATGCTTTTCGCGGTCGATCGCGCATGCAATATCACCGCAGAATTCAACATGCAACGGAGTAATGACCCCGTCTTCGGCTGCGTCAACATCGGGATGACAACCAACACGGACAAAACTGTGCTCATTCCCTAGCCGTCACACGACAATGAAAAAACGCCATAGGAATCACTAACGACACTCAACTGAGACTGTGAATAAAAGTTCGCCCATCTGGGCAACAAATTCGCATTCTGCACCAAAGTGGACGACGAAAGGACACACTGGACCTCCACATACAGCCAGAGATTCAGCCGGCTGCAAAGCGCCGTGGGATTTACACGGTCTCTTTTTCAACAGCAAACTTAAGATGTATACGGCTGTTATCTTGTCGACGCTGCTGTACGGACCGGAGACTTGGACAGTCTTCAGGGAACAAGTTCGGAAACATGGTCACTTCCACCTAAGGCGTCCCCGGTGGATACTAAAACGGAGATAGCAGGAAAGAATGCCGGACACGGACGTTTCGGAACGACCGGAATCCTCAACATCCACGCCATGCTGAGGTAATTGCAACTGCGATGGATAGGTCACCTCGTACGGATTGGCGACTGCCCAAACAAATCTTTTACTGGGGTGTCGCTACGGGTGCTCTCAAACAAGAAAATCGAATACGCCGATACAAGGACACCCTGGAGAATCCTCTGAAGCGTTTACAAATCAACCACAGAAACTGGGAATGCCCCGTCCATAACCGATCGGCATGGAGAAGGGCAGCGAGAAATGAGCAACAACCTATAAAACAAACCGGATGGCCTCTGCCAATGTCAAAAGAACAGCCTGCAAGTCTCTATCCACAACACTAATACCCGAACTCTTCCGACATACCACGTTGTCAACGAACTTCCCGAGCGCGGATTGGCCTCGTCAGATATCTCAGAATCCAGTGCAATAATCCTACAACCCCCAACTGCTACCTCCACAACCGCCCCCATCATGAACCCTGCACTAACCGCGACGTCGTCTACAACCACGAGGTCCCTCACCACCGACGGTCACACTCACGATGACCCGTTGTCGTCGATCACCGCCACCTCCATCATACCTCCCAAAACTCCGCGAAGTCTACCAGCTCTCCCACTCCCGCCTCCGATGCGAACATTCCCGACGTCATATCCACTACTGCCCTCACCACAAGGAATGTGGACTCGGTCCCCATCCATCCTCGTTGCGACCGCACATTCACCCCACACATCGGCATCGTCGGTCGCTTGCGAACCTATCGTTCTGAGACCGGCGCCCTAATGCCAGGGCCCCACATACATTCGCCTCATCCGCCTTCACTTTCCCCGCTGTCCACGAGCATTAAATCACCGCGTTGACCTATTGGATCACACGCCTATCCACGACAGTGAAGTTCACCGAAATATCGACACGCCATACGTACCTTGAGCACCAAACAACTCTCCAATCCCCAGCGCTACCAAATACTCACCACTAGCACCGTGACAACCCCAACCGACTAAGCATTTCCCAACCTGTCCTGCCCATAGTGTCTCGCACCGGCCTGGTGGGGCACTTGCGAATCGATCACACAAGGAATGGGGGCCACTGCCTAAAGCACTAACACACACCCACCACCATCGCCTTAACTGCCCGCATTGCCCTCACACACTTGGCTACCGTCTAGGCCTATTCGGTCACATGTGCCTCCATTAAAATCTGTGGTAAAGTACCGCAGACTAAACCAAATGACCAAACATTTCCCCATCAACACAGGCACTCACATTAGAACCTCCCAAATCATACACCGCAGACGCAAATCAGGCACCTCTCTGATAAGTAAGATGTGTGTCATGTTCCTTCGGCATGTGGCTCCCTTGTCACACGTGAGTTCTGAGGAGTCTACCTCCTGAGCGAAATATAGGTGTGTGTCTGGGGAGTCAGGCCGCGTGTGCGGCACGCGCAGACAAGCTAAGCTTTGCTGTCAGTCACCTCCCCTAGTCTCAGCATCGGTTGGTTGACTAGCTCGGACAGTCGACTGATGCACGAGATAGGGCAGAGGGAGCGAGGTTGACTCTCGGCGCGTATTTCTCCACAATAAACAATCTGACCTGAGTGAGACTATCACGGATCGTAAATGGGCGTCGCTTGGAAGGCTCTCAACTGTCGGGATAATTCAGTCCTGTTCGGATGACGAAAAGTCAGACTGTGACGGCTCCTTAATGTGGCCTTTACGACACTCCCATTCATCTGGTATCCAAGCCACCACTACCCCTTTTTTCTTATGTAAAATCCTGGTCAGTTGTATGTAGTGGACCAGGGGGTACGGTGGTACGCCCAGGTGTGGGTAAAGACGACGCGAAGTCTATCTACTTAGCATTTACTGCAGGCTACAACCGAAAGACAACAGCCATACCCTCCAGTTAGCATTACCATCACAGGGCTGTAAAATGCGAGTTTGGAGAGGTGTTTTAGTTCGGCTTCCAGTTGATACCAAACTTCGGCCTAATTACTTAAAAGGCATGGATGCGATCGTCCCCGCTCGTATTCTCACAGTCGTCGAGGAGGTTTTAGGTGAAAGTTTAGGCCGGACGCTCATGTCGAAGTACATGCGTATTTTTTTTACAAACAGGGATTTTTGTCACTCCTCATATGCTATTAGCGGGATGCGTCTCGGGAGGGTTGTTGGACGGATGGTTGTAGGCCTTGAGGTTGAAGAAGCCACGACATCAAAGGCGGTCAAAGTGTGTGAGGGAGGCGAGGCAGTGAGCGGGAGGGAGGGTTAGGAGTACACTTTATTTTGAAAGCATCATTACAAATTCGAGCTCTCATGGTAGTAGTTCCCGGGCGATTTAGTCAGAGGCATTCCACAGGTTGAGCAGAGGCAAGGGCCAGACATGGAGCCACATTTATTAATGCATTGCGCGCTGCCCTCATGCTGAGCAATAACTTCGTTGATGACCGGCGAAGAAAGCGACTGGACCGCAGCTCAATTTTTTCTACATACAATAAGTGCACCCTTGGCAGCTCATTCTCGGTTAAAGTATTTCTGGCTTTATACTTCACGCACTTACTTTGTCGTTGTAGGTAAAGCCATTTACTCTGGCGGCGGGTGGTAAGATATAGCTAAAGGTTAAAGCTGGAAATTGTGACCGACGTACGTTTGGCGTGGTTACTGAGGGCGTGCTTCGTGTGGACACGCACCTGGTACGGGGATGTCAGTCAAGTGCTAATATGTAGGAGGAAAAACTACAATCGAATGATGCCTTCCAGGTATCAGCATTACGCCAAATTTGTGCCACCGCCTTGGTGCTAGAGCTTGACATGTAAACGTCCTCGACTCACTGATGCAGCAGTGCATGTACGCACGCGTCGACAACGCGCGTGAGAGAGGGAGCGATGTGTAGGCAGGCTGAAGAGATATCCCACGGTTTTACTGCCGGGCCTGACCAGAGTAGTGGCTTACAGTCTTAGGGACGTAGGTATCGACTGCCCATGGCCAATGAACAAGCTTGTGGGGCTTGGTCTCATGATCTCTAGTGCTTCCAGCCAGTCCGATTAGCTCTGCCAACATGTCACTAGCACTAAATATGAGTTCTTAACCGGTAGTTTGCTAGTTAACAGGATGATGTTAACTGTGTGCTAGTGCAATAAGGGCAAGCAATCAAAAAAGTACCCGCTGGAATTATGAATGGGCCTGTTTAAATGGCATCGTATTATTTTCTACTATAGCTAGACACGGAACTTACTCCAATTATACTAAGCTTGACAGATGAAGAGATAGATTACAGCCGGCTGAACGGCACCAGACGCAAACTGCGAGCTTTCTGCGATGAACAGTCTGGGATAGTCACGGAAGAAACCTTGTAGGGTCGCCGGTGCCTTCGCGTTCCCTATTGGCCACCAGTACTTGGTCCGTGATTGGTTAGTTATTTTCCGCAAGTATTCTCAGAATTTACTCGTCTCATTTAAGTGACGTAATTTCAAACCGGTTGACGTCAAAGTTATTGTGAGGGTTGAGATTCTGGTTAAATTGGGGGTTCGAGCTAGAGTTTGACAGGAAAGAGAGTTGGCAGGTGTCACAAGATCGAGATTTGAGGAATCCATGCTGAGCAGCAATCAGTAGGTTATTCTCTGTTAAGTGACACATTCTCTTATCTTTTGTAGGCCTTTGTACACTTTGGATTTGTTTCACTACATTTTCTTGTACACCTGACCTGCCTGTACATTTGTTTGACTAAACGAAAAATACACAACAACAACGCTACGGCGGTCATCATGTGTTCTGGTCTCGAGTGTGTTTGACATCGTTATTTCTTGGCGTGCGCTTGTCACCTCTCAATTCTCTTAGCAACTCGTTCGTGCTGCCGGAGACTTCCTCCTCGAAGCTGACTTCAACGGACTATCGCGGAACCTAGAGCCTCCCTTCAACCATTTCTTCGTCGGAACACTATCTCCCTACTTGATAGGATTCTACCTTACGTGAGTCTGGAACATTCCTTTTCTGGTTCTTTCAGTCTGTACATTCTTTTTTTGTTGGTAAACACAATTCCCCCATTCGGGGTTAGTTTTTTCCTGCATATATTATTGTTTGTAGTTTCTAAGTCCACATTTCCTCTACAAAACTGGTGACCCCGCTTTTTCCTGCATTCCGAACCTTTTTTCCATTTACCATGGCCAGAGACGACTCCCAAAAGGACTCACTCGACATTAACACCCTTTCTTTTAAACTGGCACCGTTTACCCCGAACAACCCTCGTGTTTGGTTCAGGCAGATCGAGGCTCTTCTTGTGACAAGCCGCATTACTAGCGAGCGTACCCGCTATTCGTACGTTTTGCAGTCACTCCCATTTGATGTAGCTGTCACCGTCGAAGACTTCCTTGACCCCATTCCAGCCGACAAACCGTATACGCTGCTGAAGGAAGCGGTTATCCAACGGGTAGCTAAATCGACTAACCTTATGCTGCGGAAACGTTTCACTCAAGTAGAGCTAGGTGAGCAGACGCCTTCCCAGCTCATGCGTCACATGCGCTCACTCCTCGCTGGTAGGCACATGGACGACGCCATTTTTCGCGAGATTTGAATAGAAAAGTTACCGGTGCCTATGCAGCAGGTTTTGGCCATGTTGGACTCGAATACACCTTTAGAGAAACTAGCTACGCACGCCGACAGAATCAAAGAGTGTTACCCCATGGGTGCCTCGTGTTCCACTATTCAACAGCCACCGCCTTCTAAAGGCAAGCCCCATCAGGGCATTGACTCTGATTCAGAAGGCCCACCATTACCAGCGCACGACACTCCCTATACGGAAAAAGCGTCATGCTGTTGCAAAACCCGACGCCCGCCCACATCAGCCGGTCCTCCCAGAACACCCACCGCCGCTTATCGCACCGATTACGACGACCTGAGAGACACTGTGCGTCTCCTTTGCAATCACGTGAGCAACATGTGCTCTGCGCTTAACAGTCTTCAAGCGGCTAGAAAACAGCCATGCTCACATCGACGGTCTAAATCCCGTGAGCGGCGTTCACAACCCTTATGTTGGTATCACCGCACTTATGGCCCGAAAGCCCGAAAGTGCATATCTCCTTGTTCGTTCGCTTGTCCTCCACAGTTAAACGACCACGCCAGCCAGTAATGGCGACGACTGCTGCTGGCCCGTCGCGACCCAGTCGCCTTTTCTATATTAACGACAAGTCGAGCGGCCTTCGTTTCCTGGTCGATACCGGTGCCGAGGTCAGTGTCATCCCGCCTCTAAGGCGTCACCGCCTCAAGCCATCGCAATTCTCATTGCAGGCTGCAAATAGCACCACAATCAGCACCTACGGCCAACGGTCCCTCACTTTAGATCTTGGTCTCCGGCGACGTTTTATTGAGGCTGACGTCAAATCGCCCATTATCGGGGCCGACTTTTTGTCATCTTTCGGCTTAACAGTCGATGTCAGACACCGTTGCCTCTCAGACACCATCACCCAACTCTTTACTATAGGTACCAGTAGCTCTGAACGGTCGGTTGGCATTCATGTCACCATCCCCAGCACCCCTTTCGCTGACATTTTGAAGGACTACCCGTCCATCACTAAACCATGCCATTTTACCGAAACCGTTCAACACGGAGTGAAACACCACATTGTCACGGCAGGGCAACCAGTGCACGCTCGTCCGCGTAGACTCCACCCTGACAAGCTCCGAATAGCAAAGAACGAATTCGAACATATGATGAATCTGGGCATTATACGCCCTTCATCTAGCCCATGGGCCTCACCACTGCACATGGTGCCAAAGAAGTCCCCTGACGATTGGAGACCATGCGGTGATTATCGAGCCCTAAACAGGTCCACAATCCCTGACCGGTACCCCATTCCCCACATTCATGGCTTTTCCCACATGCTAGCCGGCAAAACTATTTTTTCCAAGATAGACCTCGTCAGGGCGTACCACCAAATCCCGGTCGCTGAGGAAGATATCCCAAAGACCGCTATCACGACACCCTTTGGGCTGTTCGAATTTATTCGTATGCCTTTTGGTTTGCGCAATGCCGCCCAGTCGTTTCAGCGCTCTATCGATGAGATCTTGCGGGACCTTCCATTCGCTTACGCCTACATCGACGACATACTCGTCGCAAGCTCTTCGGCAGAGGAACATGCCTCGCATTTACGCCTCATATTCGATCGTTTCCAGCAACACGGTTTGCAATTAAACGTCGACAAATGCGTTTTTGGCGTTAATTCTCTCGATTTCCTTGGCCATCACGTCTATCAGCACGGAATCACTCCACTTACAGAGAAGGTGCAATGCATCTTGTCTTTCCCTGTTCCCAACACACTCACTCAGTTGCGACGTTTCATAGGCCTTATCAACTATTACAGACGTTTTATTCCCCATTGTGCGGCAATCCTGGCTCCCTTGACTGACCTTTTGAAGTCGAAAGCAAAACCTATTGAACTTTCACCGGCAGCCCATACAGCTTTTGAGGAAGCGAAAAAGGCTCCTGCCGATGCCACCATGGTGCACCACCTCAGCTCTGACGCTCATGCACAGCTCATTTTGACCACCGACGCTTCCAGCAGTGCTGTCGGCGCAGTCTTGCATCAACAGGTGAATAACCAGTTGCAGCCTTTAGCTTTCTTTTCACAGAAGCTACAACCGGCGCAGACTCGCTACAGTACTTTCTCTCACGAACTCCTTGCCGTCTACTTGGCCATACGTCACTTTCGACACCTTTTAGAGGGCAGAGACTTTTCGGCCCACACCGATCACAAGCCTCTCACTTACGCCCTGAAGGCCAAGCCAGATCGGTACTCGCCCAGGGAAGTTCGTCACCTGGACTATATTTCGCAGTTTACTGCCGACATCCGCTACGTCCGGGGCAGCGACAATGTCGTTGCTGATGCATTATCCCGTCCGGACATCAACACACTCACATCCGATTTCGACCTGGTGAGGCTTGCAGACCTCCAAACAGCAGACGGGTCCATCGCGGACTTACGTACGTCTACTACTCTGCAGCTTCGAGATGCACCACTTCCTGCGTCACCAGGTACGATTTTGTGCGATTGGTCCACAGGCACCCCTCGTCCTGTTGTTCCACTATCCTATCGTAAGGTCGTCTTTGACCACTTCCACTCCCTCTCCCACCCTGGCATTCGCGCTGGACGTAAGTTAATAGCGGCTCGTTTTGTTTGGCCGAAGATGAATTCCGACATTGCGCTTTGGACCAAACAGTGTCTCGCATGCCAGAAGAACAAGGTTCATCGACACACTTTCTCCCCTGCAAGTACCTTTGCGGTCCCGGACGTTCGAATTAATCATGTTCACTTGGATTTAATCGGACTTTTACCCCCTTCACGTGGGTACACACATATCCTGACGGCCGTTGACCGTTTCACACGATGGCCGATTGCCGTTCCTATCTCGGATACCTCGGCAGAAAATATCGCCTTGGTTTTTCTGACCCACTGGATCTCAACTTTTGGTGTTCCAGCCACACTTACCCCCGACCGCGGAAGTCAATTCCAATCTAGCCTCTTCCGTGAGTTCACTAGACTGCTCGGGTGCGCGCACATCACAACCACGGCATACCGTCCTGCCTCCAACGGTCTCGTTGAGCGTCTACACCGCCAACTGAAGTCCGCACTGATGTCCCAAACAGAGTCAGCTACTTGGAGTGTCAATCTCCCTCTTGTGCTTCTGGGCATCCGATCTTCTGTCAAGGAGGACATCCAATGCACTGCCGCCGAACTTGTGTACGGCACACCCCTTCGTCTGCCCGGCGAATTTGTGCAGCCTTCCACAATAAACACTAACATCACGAGCACCTTCGTACAGCAGTTGAAACAACGTATGGCTCAACTGCGTCCAACCCCCACTCGTCTGACCTCGAAACACGTGTTTGTACACGAGGACCTTAAATCCGCCCCCTTTGATTTCGTCCGGCATGACGCAGTGCGCAAGCCCCTTTGTTCTCCCTACGATGGCCCATATAAGGTCGTTCAGCGGAATGACAAGTTTTACGTCCTTCAAAAGGCTGATAAGACTGACACGGTCTCCATTGACCGCCTTAAGCCAGCCTATCTGGAGTGCCTCCCGTCGACCAGTGCGCCATCCATTCCCCCTACTACGTCCTCACCCGATACACCCACTCCTCTCACCTGCCCTCCATCACCACACTTGACCATTCTACTCACCCAACCGGATCCTCCTCCTACACCACCGCCTATTTCGTCTCGCTCCGGTAGACATATCCGTTTTCCCGCCAGACTTAAAGACTTTGTAGTGTAATTGTTTCCCGTTTTATTTTATCGAGCGTTTTGTTTCTTTGGCAAACGCTCTGGTGGGGGAGTTGTGTAGGCCTTTGTACACTTTTGATTTGTTTCACTACATTTTCTTGTACACCTGACCTGCCTGTACATTTGTTTGACTAAACGAAAAATACACAACAACAACGCTACGGCGGTCAACATGTGTTCTGGTCTCGAGTGTGTTTGACATCGTTATTTCTTGGCGTGCGCTTGTCACCTCTCAATTCTCTTAGCAACTCGTTCGTGCTGCCGGAGACTTCCTCCTCGAAGCTGACTTCAACGGACTATCGCGGAACCTAGAGCCTCCCTTCAACCATTTCTTCATCGGAACACTATCTCCCTACTTGATAGGATTCTACCTTACGTGAGTCTGGAACATTCCTTTTCTGGTTCTTTCAGTCTGTACATTCTTTTTTTGTTGGTAAACACAATTCCCCCATTCGGGGTTAGTTTTTTCCTGCATATATTATTGTTTGTAGTTTCTAAGTCCACATTTCCTCTTCACTTTCATCAATGTCCCTAAGATCGAAACTGCGGGGAGGGCGTTTATTGGCCGAAAGTTATCAAATGACGTAGGTATACCGTGCTTAGGAATGGGCAAAATGTGTGATTCCTTCCACAAGGCAGGATAAGTTTCACATTCAAGAGCGAGATTAAATATCATGCATAGGAGGGATGGGAAAATCGTATTTGCACCGGCTTTTGAAATGCTTACTGGGACACCATCAGGTCCTGGACTATAAGATTGACGAAAACGCCAAATCGCAACAGTCACATTCCACAGAGTGAAATTTATATTTTCTAGGACTGCCCCAGTCAGTGCCTGGATGGTCGGAAGCGGAGTGGTCGAGTCTTCAATAAACGTTTTGGCCAAGAAATCATTGAAACTATCAGCTGTTAACTTGGCAT